ACATGCATGCATGTGCACACACACACCACATACACATACATGCACGTGTGCACACACTCATATACACACACTGCACACACAACAAATGTACACACACAGCTGTACATACACACTGCACACGAAAGTGCACATGGGTGCGCACATACACACACTCATATATACACACTGCACACACACTCATACACACACACTCTCATATACACACACTGCACAAAACACATGCACACATACTCATACATACACACACACCCCAGAACTTGGGAAAGCAATGCAGTGAGCAAGCAGCTGTCTGCCACACAGGAACAGACATCTCCCCACACGCCAACCCTGACAGCATCTTGATTTGGGACTTCCAGCCTGCAGAACTAGGAGGGCTTATGTCTGTGGCCTGGGTCACACACTCTTCTGTCGGTCCTAGCAGACGAATGCAGAAGAATTTTTTAATGGGGCAGACAGACAAAGCCAATGACAAAATTTGGAGCCAGCAGAGACAGACTTCCCAGAGGCTGCCACATCACAGCTAAGTCAGGTGATCAGGAGCCAGCTTAGCAAAACCAGGAAACAAACCAAGGGAGTTTTCTAGAGAAGCACCAGCCTGCCAGGAGTAAAGTGTATACGCCCAGGTGATGTTGACGGAGACATGAACAGGTCTCTTAGGTAATTCTGTCACCTTAGAAGAATGTGGACAGCTATTGTCACCTGCTCATGCAACATCCCTGGGACCTGCATATTTGAAGTCTGAAACTCGAGGACAGAAATATATCATTTAAGATAAAGAAGAATATGGTGGTACATGCTTATAATCCCAGTACAAGGGAAACTGAGGCAGGAGGATTGCTATGGGCTTGAATCTAGCCTGGGCCACAGAGTGAGCCCCCCTTTCAAAACTGAAGGAAGGAAGAAGGGGCAGAGGCACAGTTATTGAGCTATTCTATTCTATCACCTTGTGTGGACAGAATTTCCCAAGTTAGATGGAAAATGCTGCTGGGAATGTATAGCAGACCTCCATCTAGGCTCAGACACTCTCTGAAAGTCTTTGAGAGTCCCTTATTATGAGTTCTGTTTCGGCTCCGGTGCAGTCCTCACCAGTCCACAAGCTGGTGAGTGACATACCAGTCAGCTGGACAGCCACCACCCCTGGATTCTGATCCCCCATACTCTCCTCACCTCGTCATCCTTCCCGATGCCAACCCTTCCTCTCAACTTCATCAAACCCCTATAGGCCCAGGTACAGTCCCACACCAGTCACAAGAACAGCACCCCCTCCCCTGGGCTCCTTATTCTGGTCTACAGCTTCAGAAGAAGATGGGCTTTATCAGGGGCCAGGCTGGATCTAGGGACCCAAGGCCCCAAAACTCCAATGGAGATGCCCTATTGGACCTGAAGACTCACAGGTCACCAGAACTGTTGTCCATTTAGGCCAGGAGACCAGAGAGGAAACAGAAAATAAAGGAACAAAACGCCCACCCAACAAAGACAAATGCAAATATAGCAGTCAACAGCTAGACCGTCTGTGGGGACACCAGACCTTGAGCAGAAACCCACTTCCCCTTCAGCCTGGGAGCAGGCATCTATGTAATGTTTACTGAAAACAATTCAGTGCTTTAGGGCTCAGATAGGGCTTGCTCACTGAAATACCATGCCTTTCACACCCCCCTACGGCTAGATGCCTCTTCCTGTTTCCCTGTGGTGTCTCCCCGATTCTGGGGCCGGAGATTAGACCACCAGCCAGGAGGAAAGAATGGTATGTAGATGAATGGCACAAGTCCTTAAAAAAGGGAAGCTCCTTTTTCTTAGAGAGACTTCTCCTGAGACTTCTCCTGAGAGCTCTCCTAAGCGGACTGGGGTCTCCTCCTAAGCTGACTTGGGAAGCATAAAGTTTTCTTAAAGCAACCGACCAGTCTCTGTGTCATCTATCCCGACCACCTCGCTACATTCTCGGATGCAGGCCGCACAGCAGGTGCGACAACCGTCAATCATCCCAAATCCAGATGCCTAAATGCCAGTGTAAGAACACAGTCAATAACAGAAAGGGAGATATGGCATCACCAGGACCCAGAGATCCAATGACATCAAGACCTGGACATTCCCACACGGCTGAAGCACAAGAAAATGACCTTAAAAATAACTTTATGGAGATGATAGAGGCCCTTAAAGAGGAAAATCTCCCTTAAAGAAATCGAGGAAAAGGCAAACAAAAACCAGGAAGGATTATTTTGTTTCCTCTCCTCATCCTGGCTTAATTCATGGAGTAGGCTGTATCTACCTAAGAAGCTGAGAGTAGTTGCCTCAATTCATAGACAGGAAGCTCAGCAGGAAATAACCCCCAAGACAAACACCACTACCCTCAAGCTGAGGGGAAAACATCCCCAAATTAAAGGACATCATCCCAAAGTTGAAGGATGGGTATGGAGGTTTGAATAAGGATGGCCCCCACAGACATAGATTTGAATGCTTAGTCACCAGGGAGTAGCACTATTAGGAGGTGTGGTCTTGTCACTGGAGGTGGGCTTTGAGGTTTCAGAAGCTCAGATTAGGTCCATTGGCTCACTCTTACTTCCTGCTGTCAGCCCATCCAAATGCAAAACTCTCAGCTACCTCTCCAGCACCTCGTCTGCCTGCAACACCACCATGTTTCCTACCAAGATAATGGACTAAACCTCTGAACCTGTAGGCCAGCCCCAATTAAATGTTTTCCTTTATAAGAGTTGCTGTGGTCATGGTGTCTCTCTATGCCAATAATAACTCTAACTCAGACAGTGGGTCCACCAGGCAGAAATAGCACTTGGTGTCCTGTTTCCTCTTAAAGGTGGAAAGTAGCTGTTGAAGAAGCCACAGACCAGAACTGCTCATCCGTGAACTGTCACATCTAAAAATACCCAGAAAAGAGCCTGGAGACTGCATGCCGGTGAGAGAGATCTAGAAAGGACAGGCTATTGCCAGAGAGCTGAGTTTTCAGGAGGCAAGCTTAAAGCTGAACAACATTTTGAGAATGTACAACGCTAACAACATTACAAAGTTCTTCTACTACTTAATAGGTAAGTTAACATCAGACATTTAGGAAACAGTATTCAAGATCATGAGCACAAACAGGTGTCAAAGTAGTGAAAGCAATTGTGACGGAGTATTTATTATAAAACTGTGTCAGTCAGATTGGAAGGTATCTTTTCTGAGTGCTAAAATAAGAGGTCCGCATGAGAAAAGAGGGGCGGGCTGTATAGCTCAGGAGAGCACTGACTTGCACCAAACTGATCCTCAGAAGCAACAGATAAAATATACAGATAGCTGGGAGTTGGTGGCACACACCTTTAATCCCAGCACTTGGGAGGCAGAGGCAGGCAAATCTCCTTGAGTTCGAGGCCAGCCTGGTCTACAGAGTTACAGGACAGCCTCCAAAACAATACAGAGAAACCCTGTCTCAAAAAAACCAAAAGAGAAACACACACACACACACACACACACACACACACACACACACACACACATCATGCAGATAAAAGTTCAAAAATGAAAAGAGGAAAATCTCAAAAAACATAAGAAAAACCATATAGGCAAAAACAAGTAATGAAGTATATTAATTAAAACATATGCTAAATTGATAGGGCAAAGACTGCCGCTTAACAAAAAACTAAGGTCAAAGTTCTGTTATCTCCAAGAAATACAAATAAGTCCAATATAAGCCAGTTACTCATCAAGATTAGTTTAAGATCTATCATAAATTGCCGGGCAGTGGTGGTGCACGCCTTTAATTGAAGCACTTGAGAGGCAGAGGCAGGAGCATCTTAGGGAGTTCAAGGCCAGCCTGGTCTACAGAGCAAGTTCCAGGACAGCCAGGACCACACAGAGAAACCCTGTTTCAAACAAACAAACAAACAAACAAACCCCATCAACAACAACAAAAGATGTATCTTGTCTGTCATTCTAGCATTTAGGAGGTTGAGGCAGGAGGATCTTGAGCTCAAGGTCAACCAACTTTATATAGTAAGACCCTATCTGAAAACAAAAGATTTACCATATTTTATAATATATTACAAAAATATATACACCAAAATAGTAAAGGTTAAAACCACAAATTTATCATTAAAATGATAAGATATTCATTATAAGATATTCATAGCCTATATAACTAATAAAACGTTGAACATGACATCTTCATGTTTAAAACACTATGGAGAATATAATCTGAAGCTTTTAAAATTGGAAATGTGATTTATCTTAAAGCTCTAACAGTACAATGTAGCAGATAAGAAGTCAAACATCTTCCCAGGGCACAGGAACATTCATCAACATCACTTCCTAACTCAGCATCTCTAGAACGTCTGAGGGCGCGTGAAAGGAACCATCAGCACTGTCTTTGCAAATATCGTTCCTCTCTGTTCATTGTTCTGAGACTCCTGGATTTTAGGTCGTGCTGTCTAACCAATCTCTGCCCACATCTCTGTGCTCTGCTCTGTAATGCTTGTTTTAAAAGTCATTCAATAGACATTACAGACAATAAGCATCTAATAAAATACTTGTCGAATAAGTAAATATATAGTCACAAAGAATTATAGTCACGACCCTGCCCAGGTGAATGGAAAAGAATTTCAAATATGTGAATGGTGTTTCCCTTTCTATCCTTGTACTGGCTAGTTCATGATCATCATCATCATCATCATCATCATCATTATTATTATTAAATATATTTTTAGTTTTTATGAGACAGGGTTTCTCTGTATTGTTTTGGAGGTTGTCGGTCCAGCCCGGTCTTGAACTCCCAGAGATCCGCCTGCCTCTGCCTCCGGAGTGCTGGGATTAAAGGCGTGTATTCATGATCATTATTTCCTCGAAATGCATAGCTGGCCTGTGATTTAATATTATTGGACAGGATCCATCTGGTATGTAGGATCTCATTGCTTGTAAGACCTGTTATTTTGTACAAATGGTTTTACGGCAATAAAAAAATGTCCAACAAAACTACCAAGTGCCAAGTAAAGTTTTCATGATGTAGATCCACTGACCTTGTAAGGATGTGAGGCGAAAACGAAGCTGGATTGTCCTGCTCGGAGAAGAGGGGCATAGTTCCTCCCATTATCCACAGGCGGAAATACAGAATGACCGTCACCTTGGAGGAATGAGAAGAGCTGATGAAATGCCCACCTACATGGATGCCTTCCATCTCTGTACATGCGTTCTGATCCCCCATCAGGAAGTGGAAGGCAGCTGTCCACTCCTCTTACAGCTGAGAGATGAGCCTGCCTGGGTAACCCTGGCCCTGAATCATGACACGGGGAAACCATTCAGCTGAGCTTCCAATCTAAAGCTGCCTAGACATGCAGCAGGTGGCTGTGTCTACACCTCTGGATACCAGGACTGCATGCTGTATCCAGCAGTAGACAACATCCGGGTTACTTTGAAAACACTTTGAAAGGGACTTTAAGACAGAGTGGTTTGCAGTATGCCATCAGATTCCTGTGTATGGTTTCCCACACACCTTTGCTCAGAAACAACATTTACTACCTGTAAGCCTTTGTGATGAGATGATGTTGACAGTGAGCTTATTCAGTAATCTGAAACATGTCTCTGAGTTGAGACTAAGTGAAAACTCCCTTACTAGATATATTTGAAGTATACATTATAGACTTACATAACTGACGACCAAAATGGCCCGTTTTAAAAACGGTCTCAGGGTAAGCAGGAAATTGCTGTTGCTGCTTCCGGTCAGACACCTGAAACAGGGAAAGAAAGATTAACATCTAAGAGCAACCATCTACAGCACAATGTTCCTCTCGGTAAAGACACAGCTCTGAGGAGGCATCAAGAGCCTGGCTTTGGAGACCGAGAATTCGGGCTTCAACACCCCATTCTGCCACTTGCGACTTGGGAAGTGGGAACAGGTTTCTTCATTCTGCACATCTACTTTGCTCATTTAAAAGGTAATAATATCTATTTTGTGGGAACAGTGCAGGGAATCAGGGAGATAATAAATGGAACAGGACCTAGCATTGTTAGCTATAAATATTACCATTTGCCCCTGATTAATCTATGTACTCTGATAACATGAATTTACATTTATCCACTTTATATAATAATTTGAGGGACACAATGTCTTCGATCCATGAGATATCTCACAATTGTCTTGTCCCTGAAGAACAAGGATGCCAAGGTTATGCAAAGTAAAATGTACTGTGCTTCTGGGGTGTAAAGGAGACCTCTCCTGCACACTGAAGAATTTTTTCAGTTGCTTACTGTCCTCTGTCCTAGGAAACAAATCAGAGTGTGTGTGTGTGTGTATGTGTGTGTGTGAGAGAGAGAGAGACAGACAGACAGACAGAGAGAGAGAGACAGAGAGAGAGAGAGAGAGACAGAGAGAGAGAGAGAGAGAGAGAGAGAGAGAGAGAGAGAGAGAGAGAGAGAGAGAGAGAGAGAGAGATTAATGGGGGCCTTGCATCTGCCATAGTCCCCACTGGTTCAAAGTAGGAGTTGCAGCCTTGCGAATGGGACTGTTTGGCTTCTTTGACATAGAAGCAAGAGCAGAGGTTAACGGGCCCCGCCGTGAAAACACAGAGGGTCCGTATTATCCTCCATGCAGGCTTGCATACTTTAGTCAAAGTGGAGAAAGGAGTTGACATAATCCCTAGGCATTCCCCTCCTCCTCATTTTCCCTAACCCCTTTTCATTTAGCTCTTTTCACTCCCTTTAATCTGTTTCTTCCCTCAAAGGATTTCTCTCTTAAGATCTGCATCTGAACAAGGGCTCTTCACTAGAGAGAAACTTTGGTCCAGATGGTGCCTCTTCAGTAAACCTGAGTGGGCTAGTGTCCTGCAGAGGTGGGTCCCGTGTAACCCCTTGTAGTGTAGCAAGCTTTGGTAGCTGCAGGGAAGTGACAGCTTTACTCAAAAGCAGGTATCTTCCTCGGCACTCCCAACCTCCTCTTCCTGGCTCATGAGACTCTCTGGAAGTGATCCGTGCTCAGAACTGGCCATCCAAGCACTGGGCCACCAAATAAGGTTTGCTGCTTAGGTCCATCTAGTAGGACAAAAAAAAAAAAATACACATCCTTCTCTGGGTGCTGCCTCTCTGTGACTGTCATTTTCAGGTAAATTAAACCAAGACCAGTCTTTGGCGATTCTGTTTCTTCAAGGATGCAGGATAACTCTCAACGGGCAGTTAAAGGAAACAGACAGGGGTCAGGAAAGGGTGCTGAGGAGGGCAAGGGTGGACATGTGTCCAGGTAGTTGCTCTTGATGGGGCCCCTCGGCGACTTGTTTAACACTGGGAAAACTACAAGTGGCTTTCTTTTCTATAGAACAAGCCACACAGCTTGGGGTTTTCTTGAGGTTAAACCTAGATGAAGCTGCCATATATCATTTCTGACAGCTTACTATGAGGGCTATTTTAATAACTGTAGCTATAATGTGTCTTCTAGTTTGGAGATTCTTGGTGAAATTCTATTTCCACAAGAAGTTGGGCTAAGAGTACCAGGTAATTAACCCTCAAAATGTAACATCGTAAGGTCACACAAGCCTGAAATGGTGCAGAGATTCTTGGTGGAAAACAAACAAACAAACAAACAAAAACCCCCAGAGATTTCTGTTTTAAGCTTGGGCCCATAGAGGGAAAAAAGAGGTCGAGATTTCTATTTTAAGCTGTGGGCCCACAGTAAACGAGACGGACACGGCATCATTTCTGAATAAGCACTGCATGGGCGGGGGAGTGTGTCATAGGTTCTGTTCTCTATATTTCCTCCTCCACTGCACCCCAGAGCTAGATAGTGAGATTTCCCTCCTTGATTCACTTCTTATGGCCTATGGAACAGATCTGAACAATAACCAAGAATACCAATAGCATTAGTAAAAATAACAACTAACAGGACATGTCAGACACGTATCTTGATTTAAATATGACAGCTTATCTACCATTTTAGAATAATTCCGCAAGACCAAAGAATTAGAAGTGATCATTTTTAAGCCTGATTTCTCAGTTATTCACTCCAATCTTAAGAAAAACGTGTATACTACCAACGCTTTATTTATTTATATTTGTTTATTTTGTGTCTATGTATTTTTGAGACAGGGTGTCACTAAGTTGTTTGTTCTGCTGGTACTCAGTAGGCAGCCCAGGATGGCCTCAAACTCATGGCAATCCTCCTACCTGAGACTCTGTTATCCAAAGAGTACAGATGTGTGCCACCAACCCTGCCTATTGACATTTACATTTTAGCAGATTCTCCTTTGGAGTTTGCACATTCCTTGCAGAGCTACAGAGAGTACCAAGAACAACAAATTCCAAGCCACTTTGAAGGCGGGATTGGGGAGGCGGGGCTTCAGTTCCTTTGTGTTCATGACTTACATTAAGACTACGGGCTCCCCTCTGCCAACAACTGTTCTTGGCAATCAATTTCCACTCACAGCTACAGTCAGGGTTTAACGAAACCCTCTTTCTTACTACAGAATACCTTCACAGCAAACCCTGAACACACACCTTGACGGGCCTGCTCCACCTCGAAGACGGTCTTCCCACCACCTGGACAGATTTCCTTTCATATGAACATCAAGAAGAGCAATGAAGCCCAGTGACCTAAGCAGAATTGTGAAGGTCTCTCTTTCCCCGCCTCTCGGCCTCTTTCTTGTGTTTTTCTTTATGTTCCCTAGCACTAGGCTGGAGTATGAACATCTGATTTAGGGTAGGGTGCAGACAGCAGGGTGGAGGGTGACACCACCTGAGTAACACTGCTTTCTTGTTCTTGGATCCTGATGGCTGGAATGGACATTGTATCTGATTCTCTAGCCCTTCAGAATCTGTGCACTGCACAATTTCGGCACAAGTGTCAGCTATGGACGGCGAAACCGGCGGCAAATTGTCGCTGCTCAGCAGCACGCCAATCACACACGCAGCTATCAGAAATTCCTCTAGAATTCCTGGCCACACTGACTTAATTTCCATTTTTTTTGCATCCAAAACAATGAAGAATATTGGCAAAGAATCACATATTCCAAATGGAGAAAGAAGTTAAATTCAGATCCTTTGAAATAAAAATCTTTTGAAAGACAAGAAAACATTCTCACGTTGCTAAAACACAGCAAAGACCACAGCTCACATTAGAAAAGACTATAAACTGACCGCAAACCAAAGAAAGCTAGATCCCTCTTCAGTGCATGGCCTCGGACCCTAGAAGATGTTCCTCAATGCTGTGTCAGCAGCAAATCTCTCGAGAGTCAGGTTTGGATGCTGCCCTTGCCAGTCCCATGACTGATGGGAGATGGAGTTTTTCTGAGAACCAGTGGCTCATTTCTCAGTCCTGTCCATTCAGAACCCAAATCCACCTTCCACACCCAACTCTGCAGCTCTGGTGAATGCTTCTTTCAGAAACTTCAAGTCCTAAAAGTTTCTGAAGGAGCCTTTACTTTGATTCTCTCCCAGAATGGTAGAGATGTGGCTGGAGATCACAGTGGAGCATGGTTTTCTCTGAACCATTCTGAATATCAAAAGCTGGAACTGGAAGGGGACAAAACACTAGGGGAGTTTTATGGTTCTATAGGGTGTTCAGGTTATACGAGAATGAAGACCTGAGTTCAATTTCTAACACACACACACATCTGAAAACAGCAACCCTTGCATGTAATCCCAGTGCCAAGGCGACAGAGATGGAAAGTTCTGGAGTTCATTAGCCAGAGAGTCTACCCAAATGGGCAAGCTCCAGGTTCAGTTGGAGACCCCGACTCAAAAAATAAGGTAGAGGACAACTGAAGAAGACACATTATATCTACATACATCTGGCCTCTGTACACACACACACACACACATACACATACATGCAGGAGCCGAGAAACGTAAACTGATTTGGAGAAAGTCATGGCCCTTGTGTGTCAAAGGTCAATGAAATCAGGATTCATTAATTTAGTCAGAGGAACCATTTTTACATTCCCTCCACAGTTAGTCAACATCCCTGGTTTTTAAGTCTTTCTACAAGGAATGGTGACATCACTCCACTGTGGCGACGTCAGCTTTGTCTTTCAGCCACAGTCCCATAAGTGCACTTGACAGGTGTCAGTCACTGTAGTGAGTGCTCCCATCTTCTCTCCATGATTGCCTTGCTGTGACAGGATCAGGGGTCGGTTCTTGCTAAAAAGCATGGACCTTTCGTTTGGGCCTGCAGACACCCAACAGTAGTTAAGAGTATGTTTTGGTCATGAAGAGGACCCGGATCCCGGTATCCACTGGGTAGTAACTTTAGGTTACCATTTAGTGGCAGCCTACTGTGTATCCTAGGCTAATACATGCCACCCTGATGATGCTCCCACAAGATGGACATTATTAATATTCCCTTTTGCAAGAGGGGAAATTATAGCATTAATGGCCCAGTACTTTGTCCTATGGTCTGACAGGATAGTAAGAGATGGGAGGCGGAACACAAATCCAGCCTGTGGCCGGGTGGTGGCGCACGTCTTTAATCCCAGCACTCGGGAGGCAGAGGCAGGTGGATCTCTGTGAGTTCGAGACCAACACGGTCTACAAGAGCAAGTTCCAGGACAGGCTCCAAAGTTTCACAGGGGGCTGTCTCCAAAAAATGAAAAAAAAAAAAACAAGTCCAGCCTGTGCCTTTGGTACACACATTCTGCTCCTCCTCTCCAATCACTATCAGCAAAGCCGTCTCCATCTCCCTAAGACATCTGAAGTTGGGATAAATCCTCTGGATCATAAATGTATCAGGGACACATGCTGAGAC